GCATTTTTATGATGCTTTTGCTGTTTTCAGGTTGGTGCAAGCACGAGATTTGGAACTCACTGTGCCTGGGGCATATGATCCGTTTGGACCACTAGTTACAATATCATCGTTCAATCATACGCTGCAAGTAATAAGTTCAAAGCAGCGCCCAAGGAAAGTAATTATAAGAGGTATCATAAATTTGAAATTGTTTTCTTATGAAATTGATTACTCCTCTTTCAAGCACAATTCTGTTGTATGGAAGTGAAACATGAAATACCAACTAATGCAAACTGGAATAAGTTAGCGGTGACTCAAGGAGCAGTGGAACGACGCGTGGTAGGTGACAGCCAGTTGCAGCACATCTTCAGTGATGTGCGTTTTTGGTCTGGTATGAGCGATATTACCAAGGCAGTGTATACCACAAAGGAAAAAACATGATGATCTTAGTGACTGAATTCCGACCCTAAGCTTCAGAAAACATTTTGCTAGGCTTCAGCTTCCAGTTCTATATTTCATGTGATATTGCCAAAGTGGTACTTGAATTGCTGTGGTTACTTTTTAAATCCTGATATCAGTTTTTCCAAATTTAGGAAGTGATGGAAATGATTACACATTCCTTCTGAAAGGTCACGAGGATCCTCGACAAGATGAACGGGTCATGCAACTGTTTGGCTTAGTGAATACGCTGTTGCTACATCAAGCGGACACTTCTCATCGAAATTTGACAATTCAGGTAGCTAACAATGCTTTCTACCTCAGTTAGCTTTCCCAGCTGCTTCAAGCATTGCTTATTTTGTTGACAGTCCAGTGTACGTCTCTTACCGGTGTTTGATATGTGCGAGAAAGTAAACGACCAATCGGGCACTGCCGGAAGAGCTAGTGCATATAAAATCAGGCAGGTGACGCATACTGAGATTTGAAACACGGTTGTGGGTCGAAACAGAAAGGGAAGAAGGAGCCGTGGAGGCCCGACCAAAAAGTAGTCATCCAAATAGAAATGTCAGAGCTGTGGTAAATGAGGGGTGGTAATTTGCCGATTTTTGGCGCTGTTACTCCCTGAATAACCTTATTAACTTCTGTGCAACATCGATTCTCCCTGATAAGCTTGACAATTCACTTATCTTTCAGCGTTACTCGATTGTTACGCTCAGTGAGAACAGTGGCTTGATTGGATG